AGGGGATTTCAGACAGATGGAGAGTCGCAAGCGACGGCATTGTTAAGTTCAAGCAGCCTGAAAGGCAGGTCGTAAAAACGTTTACAAACGCCTATACAGTCACTGTATAATGGACTGGTAAGCTTGAAAAAAAACTTACAATTTCCATAATGAACTTGAAATCAGGAAGTGTACTCATACCAAAACTTCATGCCACTTATCCCACCTACTAACCCCTGTACTTGAGGACAATCTGTCGTCCCTAGGCTCGGCCTCGACAAGATCCTCAAGACCACCCTACTAATACCAAAGCCTCACCATCTCATCATAAAAAAAACAACTTTAAAGTTCCGCCGCATTAGGTCCGCCAAGTTTCCTTCCCGTCATGCTAAGAAAATTACGTCAAGTGCTAAACACAATCAGACTCGCCTTTATTACGTCAAAGCCATCGCCTCTATACACTTCTGCCAAAATGAACACACAACCAGGTAGGCTTTCAATTACTGCTCTTTCCAAACATACCGCTAGGTGTCGTCCTTACACTGTAGGCCTGTGACAGGTCCCACAATGCACCTCACTCAACTTTGACCTGCCCCATTGCATGACGGGAAACAAAATGGCGGCGCCCATAAAATCCAGGTAAAATAGAACAGGTTTTGCTATCGCAAACCTGTAAATAGACTAGTCGGGTATGCTGGGAATTCAAGATGGCTGCGCCCATGATAAATGGAAGTCGGTGAAGTGTATTTTCTTCTCAAAAACCGCGAAATCTTCACGCAAGAACATTCCAAGTAAGTAAGTGGGTTTAGGAACTGTCAGTTCATAACTTTGTGGACAAAATAACTTCGTTGTTTGGGCGCATCATTGTAATAATGTGCTAAAATCTGTCATTGTGTAACGCCTAAATGTGTACGTCACGTTTCTTTGTTTACAAACTGCGTCAACGTTTTAATAATTTCTTCATGTTCAATACAACAACTTCTGTATTATTTAGGCACAGGTCCAACATACCAGAACATTATGCACCGGTACTGTACCTGAATAAAGGTACACTCTAGTTGATATACTGTAGATTGTAAAACATTCGCGGTGGTTTCATTTTGCAGTAGTAGTAGTATAGTAGTATAGGAAAAGGGGTTTTCACGTTGCGTTGTTTTGAATTTGGGGTATAAACAACTCTGTAGTGCAGTGATGACTTGTTAAAACAGTGTTCTTCCTCACGACATAAAACCACCGTGACACGAGAGTTCACCAAAGATGCAACTCTTTTCTCATTTAGGCACAGGTCCAAAATACCGGAGCATCATGTGCCGATACTCTACCTGAGACATTGAGTAATATAACCTGAGAGTTCACCAACCTGAAGATGCAGCTGGTCTCGCCTAACCTGTACCTGGGTAACCGTGGCGATGCACAGGACGTCCAGGGCCTCAAGTCTGCCGGAATCACCCACGTTTTGACTGTGAGTGAAGGAGTAAAATTATTGTACAAACAAAAGCATTGTGAAGCCTGTTGACTCAATAATAAGGAGGTTCATGATTACAAGTACTCACTGTGCATTCCCAGTGTTAAAAGTTAAGGTCCCCCTAGACGTAAATATAAGACATGCATAAAGCATGGGGTCTCAGGGGTCTTTACCTAAATGACAATGGGTATAACACACCACACGAATCTCTATTAATAGTATATTATATATTTAGATGTGATGTCAGAGACACTGGTATCCAGATAATATAAGATAAAAGAATTTGAAACCCATGACTGATGAATATACTATAATTACTAATAAAATGGCTACTGGTGTAAAACTATAGTCTTGAAACATAGTATACACCCAAAGAATGATCACAACTTTATAATTAGGCCCAATCATGAACTAAACTACACATTTGCCAACAAGGAGAATTAATTTCTATATTTTATTTATTAATCTCTCAGGTGGACAGTGAGGAGCTGAGCCCTGGTACAGATGCTGGAACGTTCCAGCAGAAGTTTGTTCGTGCGTCGGATGAGTCGAGTACCGACCTGCTGAGCAGGTTTGATGAATGCAGCAGCTTCATTCAGAAGGGACGGAACCAGGGAGGGGTGCTGGTCCACTGGTGGGGATGTTTGTTTGTTTGTTTGTTTTATGAAGCTGTTTATTACTAACCATATACTGACTATACCAACACAAGTCTTCCTGGAGTCCATCTCACTACATTTAATTTATAAGTTGTATTTTAGGCATTTATTTGGGACAAGAATGTGCATCTAGTATGGGATGAAAATGGGCTTTTACAATATTGGAGGAACCTCTAACATGTAGACATTCTTTAATACATTTTCCTATGTATACCATGCATGGGATGTCACATGTTGTTACATGATCTTGCTGTACTTTAACCCATGTGTTCCTTTCCTAGTCTGCAGGGTGTTTCCCGCAGTGCAGCCGTCGTCGCAGCACACCTGATGCAGACAGAGCGCTGGTCATGTGACCAGGCCCTGCAGCACGTCCGGCAGGTCAAGCCAGACATCAGGTGTGTGTACATGGCCTTCCCAGTGTGTTTAGCTAATGGATGAAATATGAATATTATAAATGAATAATAATATATATGCAGCATTATGCACCAGAAAGTCTTAAATCAAGCAACTGGATAGATTTTGAAAACACATAAATAATTAGTAGCATCCACTACTTTTGTCAGTGAGCAGTGGTAGTGGATGCTATAGCTATATAGGAAATGTATGACACTGTGACAGTTTTCAAACCTATTCAGTTGCTTGAGTAACTGTTTTCTTGTGTATCTCATTATCTGGATGTGTATCCTTTATCAACGAATGATATAGATTTTTAAAAATCCTTTTGTTCCCTATGTAGACCCAACGATGGCTTCATGTCCCAGCTGATGTTGTACGAGTCTCTGGGCTGCCATGTGGACCAGAGTCGCATTGAGTTCAAACAGTACAGACTGGAGCACCTCGCACAGCAGTTTCACGGTGAGGTTTCTCTCCCAGGACTGAAAAATTAACCAGTTGCAAAAATCTGTACAGTTGCTTGAATAACTGTTTTTCTTGGGTATCTTATATTATTACCTTCATGTTTAAACTTCTTTCTCTTCTGCCTTAAGAGAGAGGCCAGCTTGAAGTATCCAGCTTCACTCCTGACCCACACAACTCCTTGAAAAGAAAGTTTCTTACCTTTAATCCCTGAGTTTTCTTCTCTCTTTTTCTCTTCTTAATTCTTGAAAGAATTTGTTATGCTCTGTATATTCTCCTTTTCTTTGTTTCATTACCAGCTTGGTACTACATTGTAGGTATGGTTGTTCTTCAAGTTTCGAGATTCAGTTGTTGTTGAGATGTCTTAAGTGACCTTGAGGGTGTTTTCTTACAGAGCAAGGTCAAGTGGAGTCCTCGACGTTTGCGTCGGACCCACATGAGCGTGGAGACACGACAGGAGACGTCTCCAACACGGCACTGTTCAGGTGCAGAAAGTGCAGGTGGGTCAAGACAACATAAACCTTTAAAGCAAAGCGCCTTTACTTTTCAAAAGTTAAACTTTATGGTTAGTAGAAATTCTTCAATCAGTGACTGTATTTAAAGGTAAAAACACGTACCTCCAAATTTTCGGTGTCGACTGTACACCTTTCTCAAGGAGTGACCTAGTCTCGCGAGAACACGAGACTAGGTCGAGACTTGTGTGGATCTTCTGACCTCCCCCGCCTCCTTGCGGAGTAGGGGTAGGTAGGACTTGGGCAGCTCCCAACCTTCGTTGCGATTCATCCCGGCACGTTCCAACTGGATATGGACCGCTTCCTTAATCTTTCTATGTGACTTCCGGGATTCCTGGTCTATAATCTTAACGATGTCCAAAATAGGGCCGTTTGTGACCCTATGTCCCGCTTTGAGTTCATGTTGGCTAAGTGCGGATTTACCGTCCTGACGGTCAACAGATTTCTGATGTTCGTCAGTTCGTTCACCTAGGGACCTTTCGGTTTCACCTACATACACCTCACCACACATCTCACACGATATTTTGTAAACAGTACCACACTTTTCACTGGGAAGTAGTGGGTCTTTTGGACTGACAAGGGCATTGCGCAGTGTATAGCCTGGTTTAGAGAACAGACTCACGTTGTGCTTGGCGTAAGCCCGTTTCAGTCTCTCAGTGACTCCTTTGATGTAGGGGAGTACTGCGTAACTCGCAGGGTGTCGCTCTTTGTTTGCGGAGGTGCGGTCTTTATTCCTCTTTTTCCCGTTTGTGATGTTGTTATCCCCCTCTTTTAGTGTAGTTATGATAGTAAGGGTTGCAAAGCAACAACCCTTTGTATTCTGCTTTTGAAACGGAGGAAAGTTCTTTATATATTACAAGCGAAATTTGTGTAAAGTGAAATTTGTGGAAAGTAAGTTCTTGTATGTGAAAGTTCTTATAGGTGAAAGTTGTTGAAAGTGAAATTTTATGTAAGTGAAAGTTCTTTATACAAATGTATATATCTGTTGAAAGTGAAAGTTCCTGTAAGTGAAAGTTGTTGATGTTTACCTCCAGGAGGAGCCTGTTCCGTTCAGACAGCATCATGGAACACGAGACGGGGAGTGGACAGACGTGTTTCTCCTGGTACAAGCGGGGCGGTGCGGGGGAGGGCGGGGGATCCAGTATCCAGTGTTCCTCCATCTTTGTCGTACCTGTCACCTGGATGGCAGAGTCACTGGCAGGGGTGGTGCAGGGAAAGGTGATGGTACCTTCTTTGAAATGCAATAGACTTTGTACATCTATTATATTTATGGACTTTGTATGACTCCAATCATGTAACCTGTATCTTGGTATACTTTGTCTGACCCTGACCTCTTCCCTCATGAATTTCATGAATAAGCAAAGGCTCAAACAACAAACAAACAAAACCTATGTTTATCATAAGAAATGTTGCCCACTTAGTGTTCAGGTACATACCTGTATTTAAATGATTTTATAGGTACAGGTTTTAGGTACATATCCTTTCCAGTGACATTCTTTCTTTTTTCTTTCCCCCCATATAGCTGCTGTGTCCCAAATGCAACGGTCGTCTGGGCTCGTTTAACTGGGCAGGCGAGCAGTGTTCCTGTGGAGCATGGATCACGCCCTCCATCCAGCTCCACAAAAACCGCATCGACGAAGTCCGAAACCTCGGCCCCAACTCTCCTGTCAAAGTGTGCAGGTAGATCGATGTGTTACTGCAACACCGGACACAAGCAAGATGATTTATCACTTTGTCTTCTGCTTTTGAAAGCAAAATTTCACAGTCTGAGGAAAATGGACATGTTCACGATACTTTTGACATGTTCGCAGCACTTAATCTTCATGGTGACAGCAATTGCAGTAAGACAAATGATACTAAAGTTCTGTTCAGAAGTGACAGTGAAAACTGTGAATATAAAAGTACAGTAAAGAAAATAAAGAATTACAGAATTGCAATTCTTGAGAAACCAGAGACACAGGCTGAATTGCCATGAGATGACTGGTTCCTTCCTAATTGTGACAAAGGATCGGAGGCAGCTAATTAAAAATGAACCAGCAGGGTCACACAGTACAGCAAGGGGAAAGGAACGAGGAAGTCGTACGTCTGTGTATCATGGCACAGGACTGGGATTCGAACCCAAGACCTTTGGCTCACAAGGCCAGGTGACTTCTCTCTACCACCGAGCTTCCCTGTAACACACTCAAGGCAGCTGCTGAGACATGTCCTCAGACATGTTATCTCTCTATTTGGCCAGTTTCTACTCTTTCCAGCCACCCCCCAAAGCCTGGTAGAGGATAGTATGCCAGCACTCTAGGATAAAGGCAGACTATGTGTATCTATAATTGTAAGCAACAGAAAAGCTGTGATTTTCACTCACTCACTCACTGTCCAGTTTAGCATCTGTTGTTCCCTGTCTTCCGAGGGTTAGATGTGCTTGTGTACACTAATGCTGAAGCAATTCTGTAAAATAATGAATGTATGAGGTACTGTGGATAGAAATTAAGTGGTTCAGAAAGCATTTTAAATGCTGATTGGTTGATAGTTCTGTCACATGACACTAAGGTCCAGTTCATTCTGTTAAACTAGATCTCCATTGGGTTTTTGTCAAATCCAAATTTAAACCAGTCGTATTTTGTGAATTACATCTAATCTAAAAGGGGCCTAAGATATACTACGTAGACAAGGGAAGCCATATTTGTAGATCTTATTCCCGATGATAATATATAAGGCTAACTTGTATGTTAAAGTTGCTGTCTGTGTGAATGTCTGTGACTCTTTCCATGCTGTTCAACAGAAGGAAGAACAACTAGCCTGTGTTACACAGTCTTTTTCTGTCACGTGTGCAAGGAGGCCCCTAGGTATCACTGTAATTGGCCACAATGTTAGCCTGTGTTTACACAATCTCTCACTGGCTAGCATTAATTGATGTTTTTGCTAGGAGCCAGGTTTAGTCAGGCTAGCCATAGTATTTGAACAACGATGGTTAGATAGTTGCAGGTTAACGCCTGCAATTAAATGTGCAAAGATTGAGTGTAACAAGTCGTTCGGTGTGATATAGCCAGCTGCCTCTGTGCCGCATGCCTGCGAAGCTGGTGTGTTACGCCGAAGGGTTGTTATACCGGCTGTACCGATACAGATAAAGAATGTTGTTTGCAGCACATAAATACCCAGCGATAAATGTGATGTACATGTATGTGGAAAATGTATCTTGCTGCAAGTATTTATAATCTCTGTGAGAACATTAACTGTTAATGTTGTAGATACCTGTGCCATAACATTGTTTTACAATGTGATGCTACAATTACCTCAATAGTCTGTGCAACCTACATGTATGGCAGTTTGAATAAACATAAGAGAAGAGTTTCTTTGTAACTGTGTAATATTATGATGCCTGTTTGTAGCCAGTTTTAGTATTAGGTCAAACTGTTTTTTGTACATGTGTGCTGTTGATAGCGAATTTCTTGCACCTGTTGTATTTGTCCAAACTGTAGCCTTTCGCTATACTGAAGTACAATGTACTAGTATGCTGTCATCTTATTATATCGCAGATAGCAAAGTGGATAGCCATAGATTTGCATTATGAATTACATGACATTGTGTACACATTGGGATTGACTAGCAATGCTAGCTAGCCATAGAATAGATGCAATTATCATATCTCTCTCTGCCTCTCTCGCTCATCAACCTGACCTTGGTTTGGACTGGGCTGGCTGACCCGTCCTTGGGTTGGGTTGGACTGACTGATGGCTAACCTTTGAACTAAATAATGGCTAACCTTTGACCTGATCCTATGTTGGTCTGACTATTGGCTAACTTCTAACTTCACCTTTAACCTGACCCCGAGTTAGATTGGCCAATGGCTAACTTTTATTTACAGTTGTGAGACTTTGATGAAGTAGGGAAGGGGCGATATTGACCCAACATCCTGTATGGGAAGATGTGGACTGAAATGTGGTTTCTGAACTGCTGTCTACATGTTCTTCAATTAAGGTAACCTGGAGCCACAAATTCAAGTCATAGTTAGACCATTTTATTGGCCTCTGATGTCAATAATACAACATCAAGAACCATCAGTTCTTCATTCTTAATATTTTCTGTGCTCAAAATTCTTTCCTAGCAAACTCAATGTCTAATTATTGACTTTTAATAAACATTTTTTTAAACTCTCCATCTCAAGAACAGCAAGACATATCTTCTTCCTTGTAGGAATCTTCTTTTCGGTCCCTTTTCTAGATATAAATTCATAAGAACTACATGATACCATTACAAAATACATCACAAAGGCTACTTTTTGCTGCATGTTTGCTCTACCTGCATTTACATTGCTAAAGACAGCACTAAGTCATCAATAAAATCAACTTCGTGTAGCATAATCACATGAAGAGCCTGTGTTTATGCTGGATATCTCTACTACCTCCACTCCAGCTTTCCTCGTGTTTTGATATGTTTCTACAACCACTGAAATCAATACAAGCATTAACATTGCAATGACAGGCCTAAATGAGAATCGAACTCATGTCTTTCTAAACCGGGAACATGTATGCACAATTCTTACATGTACAAAGGTAAAGAAAGTGCACTTGTATATACAGTTTAAAACATCAAACCAGAATCGTTGTCCATAATCATAGTCCTATTCCGTTCCAGGTTTGGTCAACCGTCTTTGCTCAGGGCCACAGGTAACAGAATTTCCTTTCATTGAATGTCTGAAGCCAGAGTTTGTCTGTTAAAGTTTCAACATTATGATACCTTAAGCTTAAAGTCTGGTTTTCTAATCTCCCACAAGTAGGCTCTTAGGATCTGAAGTGATGTGATTTAGTTTAATTTTTAGGCTTCATGTCTATTGGCCTGACCCACAATAAAGATTAATGGCTGTTATATGTGTGAGGAAGAGATTTTGATAAGAGAAAGTAATAGACACAGAAGTCTAAAGTAATGAAGAGAAATTTGGAAAAACACAATTATAGTGTCAGTGTGCTGACTCAATTGTCAATTGGGCACTCATCACGCGATGGGGCTAGACTTGCCATTTTATGACAGGTAACAGGGCCAAAAAAGTTCCAACGGGGTCTCAGTCTGTAGAATGGTTTGTATTACTTTGCACTTTGCTGGTAGATACTAGGTTTCTAGTTGGGGACTGTCCGGTATTGAGTTTGTTTTGTAGTCAAGGGCCAGCAATGCGTGATGGGCCGTTCAGGTCAAGGTAAATGTTGGGGCCTTCGGCTTCGTCTTTTTGGTCCGAGCCTTGGGAGTGCGAAGAGGGTCCGGTTGGTCGCATTTGTGTTGGCATCTGGGAGCGTCGCAGTTGTGCTGCGACGTTAGAGTTGACGTATCTGTTGGTCCTTGGGAGAGGGTCAGGGACGTCTTCTGCTTCAGGTATCTCCGAGCCAGATCTAGAGTGGTATGGTGGGCCGTTCAGGTCAAGGTACAGGTTGTGACCTTCGACGTTTTCTTCTTCGTCCATCCTCAAGCCTTGTGGGTCGCAGGAGGTTCCATGGGTGTCGTAGGAGTCCCCACGCTTGTCGTAGGAGGCACCACGATTGTCGTAGGAGGACCTACGTAGGTTGTCGTAAGAGGCCCTGCGGCTGACATGGAAGGCCCTGCGGTTGTCGTAGGAGGCACTTCGGTTTCTTCGCACAGTAGCCAGTCCCCAAACTTTTCGGTCGTGCAGCTGCGACGTTAGAGTTGACGTATCTGTTGGTCCGGGGAAGCGGGGGCGGGACGTCTTCTGGTTGAGCCATCTGCGAGTCAGAGTGGCGTGGTGGGCCGTTCAGGTCAAGGTACAGGTTGGGACCTTCGACTTTCTCTTCTTCGTCCATCCTCAAGCCTTGCGGGTCGTAGGAAGCCCCAAGGTTGTCGTGGTGTCGTGACTTTGAAGCCATTCCCATGCGTTTCGGTCGCACCGAGACGTTAGAGTTGATGTAGGTGTGGGTCCTTGGAAGTGGGTCCGGGATCCTCTCTGCCAGTCTTCGTGGTTGTGCCGACACGTTAGAGTTGACGTGCCTGTTGGTCCGGGGCAGCGGCGCCGGAACGTCCCGTGCACGAGTCGTGTCCGCGCCGGCTGGTGGGTAGTAGTGAGAGTCGCTGGCGGCGTTGTCTTGCATGTCGGACCGCGGAGGTGGAACTGGGGCCCAAGTTGTGCCCGAGCCCCCTGGCTGTGACGTGGCCTTGGAGTTGGCGGGCCGGTTGGGTCCGGGACGAGGGTCTGGGGACGCCGATGTCGCACCTCTAGGCCCCGTCACGTCTGCGCCATACATGGGGTTTTCCAGACGCGACGTTTCCGCATACGGAGTAATGGATGCGTCGTCCGGGATGTCATCTTGCGCGTGTTGAGGAGGTACAGCAGGGTTTCCAGACGAGGGGGCTGCGGCCGGTGGCTGGAGGTTCTGCAGCGGTATGCCTCCGATCGCGCCTGCGGCGTAGCCGTGTGCGTTTTGCCGCTGCTCTTGTCGCTTCTCGTACCACTTCTTGAAACGGGCCAACACCCTGTCCGCAACTCCCACAGTGACGAAAGTGCCTATTACGGAGACAAATACCAGCATCACGATATTCAATGGCTTGTCATCTGATGGAATGGTGCGATCTTTCTGTCCGTTCTTGTCCGTAAATGCTTTGCCCATGCCTCCTGTAACCCTCCCGTTCTGCCGGGTAGGCTTGGTGGTGAAGACGGCTGCCATCACGGTGCGACGTTTTGCCTTATCAGCTGCCGGAGTCATGCTATCCTGCCGGGGTTTCTTGGTCTTGGCTCGGCCCATGCTTCCTGCTTCAGCTGCCGGAGTAATGCCATCCTGCCGGGGGTTCTTGTCCGGGGTTTTGGCGACCCTTTCCGTCATCCTTGCGTTCCGCTGGGCAGGTGTTGAGGTGTAGGCGGCCGCTGTCGTCACGGTGTGGTCGTCCCTCGGGTCTTGTTCGCTCGACTTGATCAGCGATAGGTTTGCAACGACGCTGCCTGTTGTTGCAGACTTCACGACGCACCGGTAACTGCCCCTCGTCCAGCACCCGTAGGCTTGCGGATTCATGTGGAGGGTGAAGGTGGACCTGCCGATGTAGGGTAGGCTGGGGGCGTCTGTTGGGAGCACTTGTCCTCCTTCGGGGGACTGGGTGGTGGGGTAGTCGTGCTCCAGGCGTGTAGTCACGGTGCCGCCACATTGGTCTTGTGCCTGTCGGTCTCCAACGGTCCTCCCTCCTGGATCCATCCACCTGATCTCTGGTCGCTTCTCCCAGAAGACCTCACACACTAGAGTGGTTCCGCGGTCTCGGCGTGACACCTTGGCTGTGGGTGGCGGGCACGGCATCTCTCTCCTAGGAACGTCGGCTATCTTTCTCCTCAAGAGGCTAGGCGGGTAGCTGCATCGCATTTTGTCGCGGCGGTCGCCGAAGAGGGACGCTGACGCTCTGCCCAGCGCACAGGTGCAACGGAAGGGATTCTCCTGGATGGAGACACTAGTACTTCCTCCAATTCCCACAGCACGGTACATGGCAGCGAGCGACTCTGAGGGGATGGTTGAGATCAGGTTGTTGTTTAGGCGGATATTCTTAGCGGATAACCCCTGCAGCCATCCGGTGCTGAGGAACGATATCTTGTTGTGATCCAGAGTGAGCGAGCTTAGCCTAGAAAGACGGCCGAATGCCCTCCCAGCGATGTGCGAGATGTTGTTGTAGCTGAGGTGCAGATACACGAGGCCCGGTCAGGCTTGAGAAGTGGGATTCTTCCACAGCACGAAGCCGGTTGTGCCTCAGGTCGAGATACTCCAGCCGTCTCAGGGGCTGGAAAGCATTCTCCTTGATTTCTTCGATTTCATTCCTTGACAGCGTGAGACGTTCTAGCTTGGCGATCTCGCCAAACCAGCTTCCAACCGCTTTGATGGCATTCTTTTCCATGGATAGTGCCAGAATGTTGGGCACGGGTGCGAATGCTCCTCTTCCAGTTTTACGGATGCTTCCAGGCCCGAGGATCAGATTGCGGAGTTGGCCGAGGCGGGGCAGTGTTTTCAGCTCGCCGCTTCTGTCGGAGTGCCCCGCCACTTGCAGCTTCTTCATATCGCCTGGGAGACACCCGAGCGGATTCTCATCGGCCTGGCCGGTCGTGTTGCACGTGGCACAAGGCAAACTGCCCCTTAAAGAGATCCCACCCAGACCAGGGCAGAACCCAGTGCGCTTTATCTCACACACGCCAGCACAGGACAGACCAGCCTGACGCGGCTCAAACGCAACGAGGAAGAGGAGAAAAAGGGACAGCTTCACACCAGCCATTTCAGACTCTTTACGGCTCTCTACAACACTCTATAAAGATCAAGCCAAGTAAATCTGAGACCAGTAATGCTATAGGATATACTAAGCGGTCTTTGAAAGAGCTATGTAGCTACATGTTCTACAGAGTTCTTGCCGCAAGCAGCTTGGGCGTTCTGGATCCACCAGGGGTCAGGCTCACCTCTTGCCTTTGTCGCCAGGCGTCACCTGAAAGATTGAAAGATTCAGCATTTATAAGTGGTTATAGTGGCAACTAGTTTTATGTCTATTCCAACATTTATTAGGACATGGCGAAGGCACCTCAAGATTTTTTTTCAACTTGATGTTTATGCCGCCACCAACGCAGACAAACGCATGAACCGACAACAGATACACTCATTTTCATCTTAGTAAAGTGAGGAAATTCGTGCAAAGTGCCTTTTCCAAGGGCACAAGATCGGTGGCATGGCAGGATTCGAACTCGGGACCTCTTGGTTCCGATCCGAACGCGCTGTCGTTTCGACCCCAATTTTTTACCATTTGTTAAGTTTTTTTTCGACTTAGGTCAAGTTGACCTATAACTCAAATTGAAACAGGATTGATTCAAATGGCTTAGTTTACTTTTCACCGTTAAAAAAGGTGAAAGAAGGATCACATAGTACTCCTACTTTGACTTTAACTTATCGCAGCAAGACAATTAGGGCACTATCGCAGCTGCTAGATGATAATGTAACCACATATTACGTATACAGTCATAATGACATGCATATTATAACAACGGTAAACACAACGTATTACTACAATCAATTTTAGTACTCCTGCCAAAACTAGTATGTGTCAAGGAAAACAAGTCTACTATATCATCCCTGGGTGAAAAAGCGTAAAGCGGTTTTTATTCATGAATTCATGAAACACCAACTTCGTTATAATTCATTATTCACAAAACTGCATTTGTCACAGAAATCCTTGGACCGGAACTGTAACTCAGTAGTGAGTAAAACGCCTTGGAAAATAAGTTACATCATTTTTCGTTTTCCTAGCAAATTGTACAACATGACGACTTGGAATAGAAAGAAAACAGAAAGTATGATACGAACTGCCCCAAATAGCGTTTACAATAGTAACCCGATAACGGTGTTCATCGTGAATCAGTATATACTGATCTATACTGTGGGCTGTGATATCCTCCTGAAATAACCTGTCGCCCGATATCAGGTGATTGCCCCCCTAGCCCTGTATTTATTGTCGGAAAAAAAAGAAGTCTACTATTTCAGCTCTAACCCTGGGTGAACATGCATAAGGCGGTTTTTAATCACGAAACACCAACTTCGTTATCATTCATTATGTACAAAATTGTCTTTGCCGCTGAAATCTTTGAACAGAAACTGTAAATCATGATCAGGAACGACGAAAAACGCCTTGGAAAATACGTTACATCTTCGTTTTCCTAAAAAAAAACGTACAACATAGCAACTGGGAATAAAAAATGAAGTAGAAAAACAAAATGTATGATCCGTATTGCCCTAACCCTGGGTGAACAAGCATAAGGCGGTTTTTATTCTTAAAACACCAGCTTTGTTATCATCATTTACAAAATTACACCCAAATCCTTGGAACGAGTAAAAACAAGAAGCCATAGGCGACAATTCTCCGTGAAGTATTATATATTGCAACAAAAAGAAGTAGCCATTGGCGACAATTCTCTGTGAAGTGTGATAAATCGAACAAAGAAAAATTGTTTAAACGCGCGTCGGCTCAGTCATCTTAAGACGCAACAACCAATCAGAGATGCGAGATGCCTACACGTGACGCGGGAAGGGCGCGCGATGCCCGAAATATTTTTGCGTCAATATTCAGCGCCGTGATTCAAGAGATTAATACCCGGAAACAATTTTTTTCTTGTTTTGAACGCATTAACATGCATTTACGCTAATCTAGTATGATTCAGGGTTACTTTTTTTTTAACCTGCCATGGCCAGATTATCTAAAGATGTGTGTATTGTGTGTACAATCTATAGAAAGAGAAATGTACATCAGGTCCGATCATCCGATTTTCACGTTTCGGTTTTTTTGGACTCGGTTCATGAACGTATTTTGGTTTGGCTCCTGGAATGTGCGAAAAAAATGACTCCCGGGACTGTCTACAGGGAACACTCGCACATTCGCGGTGTATCAGGACTGGTCGTCATTAGCGCAGTAACAGTTGCATAAACGGACGAAACCATTTCAAAGAAATGGGGATGTTTCGAAAATAAGCATTTACTCCAATATCAAAACAGCTACGGTAAAAATAAAAAGACGTGCATCATCCCGGACATAATGCAACACCACATGCGAAATTACACAGAAATGCGACGTACGGAAGAATGCGTTTTGGCTGCGAACATCTTCCAAAAAACTTGGCATCTCTTAACCATGGGCAAAAACATCTGGAACCACTTATAAAAACCACCCCGTATCTGCATGAACTTTTTTGAACCCCACTGCTATTCCAAACAACGCGTTTTTCTGGACCATTCCAATTCGCCTCGTAATTGTAGGGGTGCGTCTGCGATATTACATTGACCGCGAAAGCAGCAACGGCAAAAATACACATTCGTGCATCAACACGGGCATGCCCGCAGACGGCGTATAAAATTGCGTGCCGATTACACAAAGAGAACCCAGTGTTTTGACTGCGAACATGAAAAATCAGCCGATTACAACACTCCGTCCGGAGGTCCTGACCTCCTTCACGGAGTAAAAAAGCTTTAAAAAAAGTTACTTACACATTCGTTTCCCTATCAAATGGTACAACATAGCCACGGGGAATAGAAAATGAAGATTGTGTGATCCGAATTGCCCCCGCCTGTAATTACTGTAGGGCCGCTGTTAAGGTCGTAGAACACAGTATTAACGGACGGTCCCCGCTGGTCTATGACGCAGGTATACGAAGAGGTACTGACATAACTCTAAAAGCCAGGCTAGAACGACTTATGTGAGAGGTACCAACAAGTAAACCGTGCTGTGTAATATAGAAATACTATTCGCTTTCAGACTGTTAATGATTTGGATTCTTGAAGTTTTTTTTTCTTTTCGGGCCTATAAATGTGGCGCATTACGCACCTGTATGGGTCAGAATCATGGGTCATGAATATGTCACATTCTAGAAAACTAAACGGAACATACACGAAGATGTTGCGAGTGGTTTTCAATACACCATGGTGGAAACACACTACTAATGAACAGTTATACGGTTCGCTACCAAATGTAACTTCAGTAGTCAAATGTCGACGACTAAGCTTGGCCGGTCATGTAGTACGTAGTGAAGAACCAGCCAGTAGGCTTCTACTCTGGAACCCTGATACCGGTAAGAGAAGAGTTGGACGCCCAAACATAACACTTAAGAAACTTATTGAAACTGAAACTGGCTTGGAGGGACATGAACTTTTCTCTGTGATGTATGACAGACAGTTGTGGCGAGCTAACTTTGTATGCTCCACCTCTACTACAGAGGATGAATGATGATGATGATGATGACGCACCTGTGTGAGCTGGCTGCAGTTCAGTTAACCTCCGCAGGGCACCATTTAAGAGAGGGCCTCAAACGTGAAAAAGACTCGACTTTCTTTCAGTAATTCTATAGATTATATCCTGAATTTTAACATATTTATTTCTTGTATTTCTCAGTAGTGCACCCTAGTATAGTTTTTACCGCGTCGAAGTGAGTCATCATGGGGTGCTTAACTATATAGAAATTTCATCCTGTAGGCAGAAAGCTATGTACTGCTATCTTAATAGGTATCGTGGAAAAATAGAGGAACTACGCATGTGCAGAAAGTAACCAATCAGAGCCTTTGTGTACACGTAAAACTGCCAGACAGGTGTATCACCTTTTCAGGTGTAATCTCTGTAATTGCCATTATCAGAACTGTTCGATACATAAGACTTTCTGTAGAAAACATGCCATTAATTTTTATTGCCACTAATACAGCCTGACAACCTTATAACAGTAAATATTCTGGATCCGTACTGTACTTTTGTCTACAAAACGTAAAGAAGAAAATCTGAACAAATGGAAGCTTTTTCACCCAGAGGCCCAAAATCTACATTAGTTATTACTATAAGGGTATAAAATATATGTCTTTTAAGCCCCAAATAAAACTCGCTGCCCCAAATAGGGACCACTAGTTACAACAGTCGAGCTGTACGCTGCCTACAAAACTCACGGAAAATATCAGGAATACGTACAAATCTTTGTAGACAACAAATTCAACCTTTCGATCACGTCTATATCTAACATATGATGACGATATTTAACCATCGCAAAATATCCACATTCGTAAAAAGCATAGAACGCCATATATTATTAAGAAACTTAACTGCGTCACGATACACTCAAGATGTCGAGTATTGCAGCGGGTCACACCCAGTTAGGTATTTGCTTACCAGAAAGTCGGATTTTAACAAAATTGAGTCGCTATTGATCCCAACATATTTGTGTGACAAATATACAAGGCAAGGAAGGAATAACAAGAAGATTTAGATAAATAAGTCAATTTCTAGTATATTTTTTACGGACAACTGTTATATGTACTAACTTGGGCTAATGAAGATTTAAACCCACCTCAGAGATAATTTCGTTCATCCGATGATTTCGAGTGTGTTGTCCCACATCGATCGACGGACCGCGTTTCTCTGGACTTCTGAAAACAGCAAGAAGAAACAAAACTGCGTCACACTACACTCATGATATCGAGTATTGCAACGCCTTAAGCCCAATCAGCTATTTCCTTACTAGAAAGTCGGTATTCAACAAATTTGATTCGTTATCGGTGTTGGCATATTTGTGTGACAAATGAGCATGGAATAAAAAAATTAGCACGGATTTTCAGAATGTTTATATAAATAAATAACTATAACAAATCCATTTCCATCATTTTACGAACTACTGTTATATATATATGTGCAAATAAAAAATTCAAACTCACCTCAGAGATGATTTCAGTTCATCCGATGACTTCGCGCTTCTTGTCCAGCCGCGTCGGACCGCGTTTTTCTAGTCTGGACTTCCAAAGAAAAGAGCAACGCGCTCACAGGCGCACGTCGCAGCGTCTGGCGTTTTCAGTGATGACTATGGCGAGCGAAGTTTGCATTATGTATGAAAATTCACAGGGATTAAAAAAATGTCGCCCAATCTCATGAAAGGCTGTTGTTGTGAAGGGATAGGTGTTTTGCAAAGGTGAAAGTTCAAACAGGAGGTCTGGAATTGACTTGATATTAAGGACAATGTTATCCTTTCTTACTTCAAGGATGAAATAAGACGTCACGTTTCCTAGAATTGTTTATTCACATTTTTAAGTAATGGTGTTCATTTTACAACACTCTATAAAGAAGATACGCAATACAGTCGGTACTACATTTTGAAAATATCATCCAAAAAATTATATTAAGGCCTTAATGGAAATCGGAATGCTAGCAGCTATAGCTGTGAGCTCATGAAAGACTGTCCGAACAAACTCACGCAAAAAACTTTTTCTCCAGCTCTAATCAACCTTTTTCACGTAGAAGAACGTAATGAACCCTGGGATATTGATATTTTTCTGGCTACGTAGGTTGTTCGTTTTGCGCACTGCTTTAAGTAATGTGAGGTGAGATTTAGTATTGAATATTTACTTAGGCAATCACTTAATAGTCTGGAGTTGCCCGCAACACAGCGGAGGAAATCTCCAAAATTTCCCCGGAATTTCTTTGAAGAAGCCTTAGGAGGTAAAACAGCGGTCTTTGAAGAAGGGAAATCAGAAGCCTTACATTTTCAAGCTTGCTACGCGTGGGTGTAAACGTGTCCTAGTTAAATTGTCTACCAGTGACTTGGCAGGCATGATCATGATCCTTTCTAGTTCTTCTTGTGTTTACGATTAATCTAATATCAAAACTTGGAGGTCCCTCAGTCTAATTTAATTTTAAGTCATATAATATGCAAATTACATATAACATTATGTTGGGAAGGTATGGGTGTTTGGTACTGTCTCAAATAGACCTTATATTACCAGATGTTTTCTTTACAAATAAATGAGCAAAATGTGCAAGATGCATACTAGTATTATTCTCCAGGCAGAAGTTTTGGGTTATTAATATTTTGTAAACCTCTGCTTCGAGAGTGGATACAGGAGTGGTTTTTAGCCTCCTTAGCTGGATTTAGAAGCCGGGTGTTTTCGGGTATGTGAGTTTGTGGAAAATAACACAAGACAATATCATATGATGGTACATTTATACACATTTTGTATTCATGCAATCACAAGTGAGACAACAGTGTGTAACAGATAACACTGAGTAAATAATAATGTGAATAGTTATGTACAAAAGTAGCAGGGAATTTACTCCACATCTTCAGTGCCTTCCTGTGCTCCATAGAAGTCAAACAAGTCTTCATCATAACCTTCATTATCCTGCTCTTTCTCATCAACATCATCATAATCTGCATAATACACCTCCTCCTCCTCCTCATCATCATCAGTAATGTCATCATCAATGCTATCATCATCATCATCATTCTTTCTCCTCTTTTTCTGGTACGGTTTGTAGCTGTAACTCGGGTTCTTTTCGTGTTTAGCCATGTGGCGCTTCATGTACTGCTTGCTAACTGTCCTCATGCCGCACTCCTTGCACACGAGGTATTTGGTGGGATCGTGCCTGGCCATGTGTTGGTTAATGGTGTTTTTCGCCGCAGCAGTAAAGTCACAGTAGTCACACCGGTAGGGCTTGTCACCCGTGTGTATCCTCATGTGCACGGAAATGTACCCCTTCACAGCTGTCCTGTACCCACACAGCTCGCACGCGTAGGGTTTCTCCCCCGTGTGCTTGTTTGCCATGTGTAGGTCTAGACAGCTTTTCTGTTCGGCAGAATAGTCGCACAGGTTGCATTTGTGTGGTTTCTCAAGTGTGTGTTTCCTCCTGCGGTGAGCAGTCAGGGCAGACCGGTCGACAAACGTTAGCCCGCAGACGTCACACAGGTAAGGCTTCTCCCCCGTGTGTCTTCTCTTGTGGATGGTAAATTGAGTTATGGACGTGGACGAGAATCCACACTGTTCACACAGGTAGGGTTTGTCACCAGTGTTCATGTCCAGTGCGGAGGCTGGGATGGCATAGGTATGGTCCCAGGTGGTGGTGGTCTGTTCTTTGCCTTTGTGTTCAGTCAGATGCATAGATAGGACAACCCTGTCAGTTGTTATGAACGCACACTCCCCACAGATGTGGTAGTCTTCCTCGGTACTGAGTGTACGTGTGGTTTTGCCAGAAGTGTGGTCACTGATTTTGGGTGCTTCGCCTGTCTGTTCATTAATATGCATGGATAGAATAACACTGTCACTTGTGGTGAACTCACGCTCCCCACTCGTGTGACGGTTGACTGTGCCACTGTGTGTAACATTGTGACCTTCCATACTATCAACTGTTCTATGTATTGCCCTGTGTAGCTCTAAACTGTCTTCTGACGATGTAGAAAACTCACACTGATCACATTTGTAGGTTCTTTCTCCTCGGCTCATATCGGATGCGCTTGGCACAGATAGGCTAGAACTATTGGGCGTTCGAACCCAACACACACGAGGCTTGGTATGTTTGAGCATGTGTTTGTCTAAAAAGTGCTTTTTGCTCGCGACGTAGCTGCACTGATCACACTTGTATTTATACGAAGGAGGTTTTTTCTCAGCATGGGTCATCATATGTGGGTATACCTGTGAACCGTCATCAGTCTTAAACTCGCACTTTTCACACGAGAAGAGGTAGGGTTTTTCTCCTGAATGTTTCTTCAAATTCTTGTTTTTTGATGATGTAGAAACATCTCCCCAATTTGCAAGAGTGTGACCGAGTGTTTCCTCGTGTTGTTCCCAACTGTCTTCTGACAACGTACGAAAGTCACACTCATCACACTTGAAGGTTACTTCTCCTGTATGGGTTGCCCTGTGTACAACTAGCTGAGATTTGTCAGCCGTTCTGAAGCCACACCAACACACGTGGGGTTTGGTGTGTTTCAGCATGTGTTTGTCTAGAAAGGACTTCTGTCTCGCAGCGTAGCTGCACTGGTCACACTTGTGGGGGAATTCGTCAGGGGTGTGTAGACTTCTGATATGTGTGGCAAGTTGAGACTTATAGTCGGTCCTGAAGTCACACTGTCCACATGAGTAGATGTAAGGTTTGTAGACGTGCTGGGAGAGATGCTGTTTAAAATCCTGTAACGACGGTGTTGAAAACTTGCAAGTGCCGCATTTCAACAAGTGGAATGCCATGTGTGCTTTTAAACCCTCTTGGCTGCTTTCAATATGATCGCACTGTCTACATTTGTAGTTGTGTGTTGCCTTAGTGTGTTGTTTCAAAGTGTGTTGTGACAATGCAATAAAGTCGCACTGGTCACATTTATAGGTTATTTGTCCTGTATGGGTTGCCATGTGCACAAGTAGGAAAGAACTATCAGCCGTTCTAAACCCACACCAACACACGTGAGGCTTGCTGTGTACTTTGAGCATGTGTTTGTCATAAAAGTTCTTCTGTGTTGTGGCGTATCTGCACTGGTCACACTGGTAGGGGTACTCCTCAACAGCATGTAGATTTTTAATGTGCGTGGAAAGTTGAGATTTGTAGATGGTCTGGAAGTCACAATGTTTACACGAGTGGATGTACTGTTCGTCGTGTTGGGAAATGTGCTGCTGCAGTTCCTGTTTTGACGTTGTGACAAAGCCACAAATGTCGCATTTGTTGGGGCATTCTTCCACCGGGTGTGTTTTCATATGTTTGGTAAGTTGGGATTTATGGAGGGTCTTGAAGTCGCAGCGTCCGCATGAGTGGATGTACGGTTTGTCTGCAGTGTGTTCCGAAATGTGCTGCCTCAGTTCCTGTTTCGACGTGGTAGAAAAGCTGCAAAGGTCGCATTTGCACAAGTGGTACACCATGTGGGCTTTTAAACCCTCCTGGCTGCTTGCAAGGTGATCGCACTGGCCACATCTGTAACTTGGTCCAGCTTGGTTTGTTGCCTGGACCTCTCTGTTGTCGGCATTGTCAGGCGAATCGTGATAGTCAACATCCATTTTTTCAAGCTCTTCAGACTGGGTAGAGCCTACACTACAGGTTTCCTCAGAGTCATACTGACTCCCCCTTTCCTTGTCCTGCTGCCATTCTGTATCTGTGTCTTCCCTGTTGTTGGTTTCGTCGTCATCACTCGTTTTTTCTGACTGATCCAAATGGTAGGGGTTTCCACCTGTGTGCTTTTTCATGTGTACTGAGAGGTTTGCCAGACGACTTGTCGTGTATCCACAATGAGAACAAACATGGCCACGATGGGTAGATTCTTCGCATGGACTCTCCCTTTCCTCAGATGGACTCTCCCTTTCCTTAGATGGACTCCCCCTTTCCTCACATGGACTCTCCCTTTCCTCACATGGACTCTCCCTTTCCTCACATGGACTCTCCCTTTCCTCACATGGACTCTCTCTTTCCCTGTCCTGCTGCCTTCCTGTATCTGTTGTCTGGTCCTCTCCACTAGTACTGTTATTCTCGGTTCCTGGGTCTTCAGCAGACATGGCCAGTTCATATGCCGCCTGTAGTGTAGCCAAGTCAAATGGCCCAGCCTCCATTTCTACAAATTATTATGGAAATGGAAATAGTTAGGAAATGGAAATCGCCATGCAAAATATAATGTCTTAACTCTTGAAAACAATAACATATTACTGTTGATGGTGGGTTAGATTGTTCTACTAGAGTTTTTAGAAAGGTCACAGTATCGTTAGTTTGTAACCCGACACCAGAATACCCTAGCAACGACAGCCGCGCTAAGCACCCATATTAGTTAGACCTTGAACTTCGTAAGCTCTAACTGGAGTCTGACCTGTGTAAGAGCAGTCTGGCATAATTTCTGGCTCCTGATGCATACGTGAAGGGCTAGGAAAAGTTCCACAAACACCCCCCTCCCCCTGTAGCACTGACACTAAAATAGAGAAATAACATCACTTAGAAAACTCATTGTGCCGTATTTGCTCCACCAAGACGCTTAAAGAGTTAAATAAGGGTCTTACCAATAGCTTGTTGCCGTTTCCTTATCTATAAGGTGTTGAATTCTGCAGATATTTAGACGTATTCTCAGAAAGAATTCGACAACAAAACAAATGGTCAGTCCCAAAATGGCGGACAAGGACTTCCGGTGGTCAAGGGTGAAGAATGGAATACCTGATTACCCATCTCTTCCAGGTAGTCGAAGTAAAACCGCAGGTCTGTTAAATAATACTGGCTGTGAACACAATATTAATGCTATGAATTTTTCATCAGGACATCATCTCATGATCTTGCTTTCGTTGGTCGGCGTGTACATGTATCAGGTAAAAAAAAAATGCATACCAAAGATATTAATATACGTTATGTTCAAAAACATAACTCTCACAATGCAAAAATAATCAGATAAATACATAAAAGACTGTTTTGTTAGCCCCACTCGATAATCTTTTACACTAACACGCGATGTTTAAGTAACTAGGATGTTAAGTTCCATTTTAAACCCTTTTTGTGCTATCATGGTTCAAAAGTGGTTACCGTACATTGTACCATGTACAATTACATGTATGGCCATCCCTATGTTTGTATAGGTGGGACGCAAAACGCGGACTCGACTGAACAAGAAAAGAAACATCCGTATCGATATATATCCGTTACTTAAACCGAATACCTAACACCTGGAACGATGAAGGGTACAAAAATAATTTCATTTGGTGTACTAGTATATGGGCTGGCCCGGGTCACCAGAACTGACTGAAGGGCCTGCGCCAGGTAGAAGTTGAACGGATCAACCTGGCGAGATCTTTGCATGTCTGCAGCTGCCATGCGTTAGTTCTTGTTGATCTCTTACATTACATTACATTATTAACTACTAATTAATGTATCTGTATTTTGTATATTTGTTTTTTGTAAAATAGCGAGAATAGCAACTATGTATGGCAGTTTTGCTGAAAAACTCAATTTAGTTTTACCGTGGATTGAACTTGAACTATAAGGACAACAGGGAGAGAAGCAACTATGTATGCTAATTGTGAATCGAAGTAAACCTAAACTCAAACCCCGGAAATTTCCTCCTATAAATGAATGAATGAATGAAGACCTTTATTGTACACACATACCCACTGGGTTAAGTACAGGTCACAAAAATGATGGAATATAGATAACGTTACATACATACATCGTCAAGTAGCGCTAGCTATAATCAAGTAAATTCGGTTTCTTCTCGTTTCTTAGTAATGGCAAAAATGTAAGAACAGATATGTTTCAATACAGAGGGTTTGTCTAAGCTCATTAGGAATATAAATTTATCTGTACAGCTTAGATGTATAAAGAAGGGGAACATAGATTGTATCAGATTATAAAGATCTACTCTCTCTTTGTGGTATAGTTCACAATCCGTTACAAAATGTTTCTCATCTTCGATTCTTCCTAGATCACAGTACCGACATATAAATGCCAAGTCTCCCCGCGCCGCCCCTGTGTCGTGCGGTTTACTCCGGTTGCCCGGGGAGGAAAACAGACGAAGGAAGATGCAGCGGCAGATAGCAGCGCGCCGCTTCCCAGTAGCACGACAACTTATGTTCAACTTCAAGACGGATAGGTCGGGGTCACCCGCGGTCAAGATGTGGGCTGCGTTCGCCTTGGAATCCGCCTTCGTTCTCCTCCTCTCCTGCGTCCCCGTACTGTCGGATTTGTCGGAGAAGACCCCGGACCCGTTCCTGTCCCCTCCGCGAGTGTCACAGATGTACTACGACGAGATCAACCGCATCTGTAACTCCGAGACGTGCTCCGAGAGCTGCGGGGACCTGTCCTTCGCGCAGCTGTGCTACTACGTGACCAAGCAGGGCAAGCTGGAGCGGGATTTAACCAACAG